ACATGTCTATAAAACAGTTGACTTGAAAGGCAGTACCTACTATTACGTGTATTTTTGAAATACACACAGTGATAAGTATCATTTGCTGAGCATCTACAACATGCAAGCATATTCTGGCACTTTGTGATTTTCACAACAAACCCACGAGCTTGTGTATTTCTGTGCCTACTTTTAATATGAGGGAACTGAAGCTCAGAGAGGTTAGGGCAGCCTACCCAAAATCACACAGCTTGGATGCCAGGATACACATGGATGTGTGAAAGATGACATGTGTAATCAAGTGTGTGTGTGCGTGTGTGTGTGTGTGTGTAAATGCATGCTGTCAGCCTGGGATTGGTGGAGGATAGGGACTACCAAGGACTCCATGACCTTTCTCACAGTTGCTCTGACCACCTGCCTTGGAGCATGAACTTGAACTGGTCAGCCTGGTGTGAAATCCTAAACATGATACAGTCCCTAAGACAGGTGGGTGCCAGGACCTCAAGGTCAAATACTATCTGTTTTCTATTTTCTATACTTCTTCCCCACTGGGGAGGCAGGACAGGCAGTAAAATGACCCAACTCTGCTGCTATCTAGGGGGTGACCTTGACCAAGTCATTTCACCTCTCAGAGCCTCATCTGCAAGTAGAGGTCGGTAACCATAATGCCAGCTAACACTTACCGAGCACTTCCTTGGACCAACAGCTATTGTAAGTGCTTTTCATGTAATAAGCCAGTCTCTTCAACCACCCTGAAAGAGTGTTTTTATAGAAAATAAACCAAGGCACACACAGAGACTGTGTAACTGGCCCCAGGTCATAGCTAGAAAGCGCCAGGGCTGGGATTCAAGTAGGCGAGACATCTTGCATCAAAGCCACAAGCTTCACCCCACATCTACTGCCTCTCTCTGGCTCTCTGACTTGACCAGTTGCTGGAGAATTAAATAAAATCCTGTAATAATCGCCTGGCATAGAGTAGGTGCTTAATACAGGGTACTTCCTTTCGCCATTTCGTCTCTGGAAATAGTGTCATGCAACAACACTCTAAACAACGTATTCCTGTCAGGGTGAAGTTCTTTATTTGTAAATATTAAATCTACTTTCCAAGACAGGTAAACTCAACCAAATCCTGGAATACATCCGAACTGTTAATCAGTAAAACGGATGTTTTGCCCCTGGAGTTGGTACAAACAAGGTCAGATGGTATCGGCCCTGCTTGATTAACTCTAATCAGCCAAGATTTTACAGTTGAACGCTGCGGGATCAAAACAAGGCCATAAAAGTTGGATTCTGCCTGGCGGTTAAAGGGGACTTTGCTTTCCATTTGAGGAGTCAAGTCCTGAAGTCATAAAGCAGGGGGGGGGGGGGGGGGGATTTCGGCAATTCACCGCAGGCCAGCCCATGAGCGCTGGCACACCTGATCTGTTCTGGGGTGCATTAAACGTGGCCCTTTAACGATGGGGCCAGGAGGACCCTATGACAAGTTCTCGTTTTCTTGGAAACAGCTCTCAGCTGTGCACAATGTGAACCTCCCTCTAGAGCAGTGTTTCCCAAACTTCTCTCATGATAAGAATCACCTGGTAAAGTTGCTAAACTACAGATTCCTAAATCCCATCTAAGAAGTGCTAAACTAGAATTTTTGGGAACATATAGGTAAAATTGTATACTTAATTGGTGCTCTAAGACAGTATTTTAACAACTCCACCAGGTGATTCTCATCATGAGAGAAATTTGGGAAACACTGCTCTAGACTGTAAGGTGACCAGACATCCCACTTTTGGCGGGCCAGCCCGATTTTTAACAATTTGTCCCGCGTCCCGCAGCATTTTTAAAAAGTCCTGATTTTTGAGTCAGGACTTTTTAAAAATGCCATGGGACGCGGGACAAATTGTTAAAAATCGGGACGTCTGATTACCTTATGCTAGAGCCGACCTCACCCAGGTCTGGAGGACCCTGCCTTAGCCCTGTTGCTATAACCGGACAGCCTAAACAGCAAACACTGTCTTCTCACATTCTGGGGTCTGAAGGTCCATATTCAGATTCTTTTTTTTTTTTTAAGGATTCTTTTTTTAAAATATATATTTTTTTATTGATTTCAGAGAGGAAGGAAAAAAATAAAACATCAATGATGAGAATCATTGATTGGCTACCCCCTATATGTCCCCTACAGGGGATCGAGCCTGCAATCCAGGCATGTGCCCTTGACCGATATTGAACCCGAAATCCTTCAGTCCGCGCAGGCCGATGCTCTATCCAATGAGCCAAACAGGCTAGGGCCATGGTCAGATTCTTGCGGAAGGCATTCTTCCTGATTATGTCCTTACAGGGCCTTCTTTAGTCAGTCTAGTCCTCTTATCAGGACATGAACCCCCTCATGAGGGCCCCACCCTCAGGACCTCATCTAGCCCTAGTCACCTCTCAAAGGCCCCAGCTCGAAACACGATCATAGTGAGGGTTATGGTTTCAACATATGCATTTTAGGGACAACTCAGTCCATAGCAATTACCATATGAAAATGGACATGCTACAGACCCATTTCCTGCGTTTAAAGTATATATAGTACAGCCCAGGGTGAATGGAGGGACACCACGTCCACACAGTTCTCAGCTGACAGGAAGGAAAACCAGGCTATGAGGGACAAACACCGGCACGTCCCATTGACACTGTCAATGAGTGTCTGTTTCCTACAATCAGCTCAACTCTCAAGTCCAGAGTGGGAATTCACGGTTGATAGACTTTTCTACCTAGAGAGCTGACATGAGGAGGAAAGGACAGAAGAAAAAGACTGTGGCCGAGACCGGTTTGGCTCAATGGATAGAGCGTCGGCTAGGGGACTGAAGGGACTCGGGTTCGATTCCAGTCAAAGGCATGTACCTTGGTTGCGGGCATATCCCCAGTAGGGGGTGTGCAAGAGGCAGCTGATCGATGACTCTCATCGATGTTTCTAACTCTCTATCTCTCTCCCTTCCTCTCTGTACAAAATCAATAAAATATATATATATATTAAAAAAGAAGAAAAAGACTGTGTTTATCGCAACATTTTTTTCTTTATTAAGATGAATGACGTGCTCCTTATGAACATTTTAAATACTAGGATATCAAGTTGGAAGTGGAAGTCTTCCCTTCATTTCAACCCTCCCCCCACCACCCATTCTCTCCCCAGATGTCATCACTGTTAACCATTTGGAATGTTTGCATTTTTTTAACACAAATATGGTCACATAAAACTACATTGTTCTGGGACTTATTTTTTCCATGTAATGCTATCCCATGGTTACCCTTCCACACCAGCAGATATACTAGTAGTTCAACCTCTTTATTATTGATTTAAGAGGAAGGCAGAGAGAAACATCAAATTGTTGCCTCCCATACACGCCCAACAGGGGACTGAACCCCCAACCTGGGTATGTGCCTGACTGGGAATCAAACCCACCTTTTGGTACAGGATGACGCTCCAACCAGGCCACAACAGGCCAGGGCTCCACCTCACTCCTTTCAAGGACCATGTACCATCCCACAGTATGGATCTACCAACTTTTTTTAAATGTTATTTTTTAATTACAGTTTACCAACATTTGTTTAACCTTGTTGCCTACTAACGGGAACTCAGCTGACTTCCCGTTTTGTTGGTGCTATGGTTTTGTCTGTTTTGCTATTAGAAACATTCGGTGAACATCCTCACACGTATGCTTGGGTATTTCTATGAGATTACTGTTTTGGAATGGTTGTCAAGGAGGGTAATCACCAGTATATCCACCACCTGAATCTAAAGCCCGCTTCCATTCTCTGAGAAGCTGCTGCAGTTGTGGGGAATGGTAAACCCCACACAGTAGTTTTCAGCAGTTGGGGTGCTTGGAATTACCTGGGAAGCATAAAAATGCAGGTATCCAGCTCTACCAGAATCTACAAGGGTTGAGCACAGGGGAGTTTTGCTGTCTTAGTTGATATTGATTTGGGGTTTTCTTAGACAGCTCTTAGGTGCTGCCCTACCCTACAGGGGTAGTAGAAGTCCTAACCCAATTCCCAATGTCACATGATCTGTGATTTTAGGTCAGGAATAAAGGCATGGGTAATGCATTTGCTCTGTGTGCCCTCTGCTGGTTCTGCATGAGCATCGAAGTGGAAGTTCTTTCATGCCCAGGCTGGTGAGAATCTGGGCTCTCACCTCCCAGTGTGGTGGGACCCTAGGCTACATGAGAACCACCTGGGGGACCTAGTCATAAGCCTAAGTAACAATATTTTAAAAAATCACTCCAGGTGATCCTGCACAGGGAGCCAGGGTTTGAGAACCTATTTTTCAGGGGAAAAAATTGGCCAGGAACACGAAGTCCACAGAGGCATCTGAGGTGAGAGCCCTAGACCTCTGGGTAGTGGAGTCCTGGCAGGTGTGCTGTGCTTGCTCAGATGACACTCCCACCCCAGTTGTGCAATTACCATCCGGCAGAACAAAACGACCCCAGTTCCACCTGCTGCTGGGTCCACCATGCCATCACCTCTGAACTAACACTTAATGTTGTGTTTGCATAGTACTTGACATTTCCTGTTTATTCTCCTACCCACCCAAGGAGACAGGCAGGGTTTTCCATGTTACAAATGTGAAAAACAAGGCCCAGAGAGACTCAGTCACCTGACCCAGGACAGGGAGTTAAGGACAAACAGAGCTCAAGTCTTGTCTCCAATTCCAGCGTTCCCCCTGCCACACCACCTCCCCACTTCACAGCACTGTGTGTAGAGAGAACTGGGCATAGCTTCTTCCAAGAACTGGCTCTTAACAGAAACTTCTGACCATTATCTGATTGTCATACACAAGTGTGGTTAAGCATTTGCACCAAGGCATCTTCCCTAAGCTGGGTTATTAGCGTCCACCTCCTGGTTTTCTTCATCCCAACAGTCACGTTTCCCAGGGGGCCTGGCAAGGTCTCCGGCTGTCAGATCTCCTTCGTTAGCCTCGCCCACACCCTCAGCCTTCGGTCGGAGATCCAGGCGACCCAGGGCAACCCAGAAGCCCAGTCCCCAGTCGTTCACTTGAGCGAGTCCAGCAACCCAAACACCTGTGCGAAGCGCTCTCTGTCCAGGATGCGTCCGTAGCGCAGGGTGAGGTAGAAGGTCTGCTTCCCACTGTACTGCTGGATCCGAATGAAAATATCCTGGGGCCGGTCCTGGGTGTCTGACATAGGTATCACCTCGGCCACCGGGCAGTACGAGTCCTGCCGCCAGCCCCAGAAGGTCAGGTGGGCCACCCGCAGCGTGGTGCCAGACTCGTTCACGTACAGGATGCCCACCAGCCTCCGGAAGAAATAGCTCATCCAGTACAGCATGGCCAGGGCGAAGCCGGCTATCCCGCCCATGAGGCACAGGTCGTTGTAAGTCAAGAGGCCCTGGGAATACCAGTAGAAGCCGGGCGGCAGGGCCACCACGGTCAGGGCTGTCTGGGCCACCTTCAGCTTAGATACATACCCAAAGGCTCTGATGGCCTCGAACCGGTAGATCATCTGGAATTTCTCGGTATCTGTGCCCGGTGGTGTCTCCTTCGAGGTGGGCGACCTGCTTCCCAGCCATCTCCTGAAATCCTGCCCACTGCAGCACTGCAGCCCGTAGAGAGGCCTCCTGCACACAGCCAGCCCTGGCAACCGCGGCACAGCTCGGAGGAGGGCAGCCTGGAAGGGAGACAAGAGACTGGTTCTCTCATAGAACTCAACCACGCTCATCGCCCAATGAACACCTGCAAAGCATGTACGCGGAGGCTCCCGCCCATCTTGTGAGGGTGCGGTTATCACGTGGAGGGGGAAGGGAAAGCCAGAAGCTTTGCCTCGCTATGTGAAACAGGAACCTCTTTACCACAGAGGAAACTAAACCTAGAGAAGGTAAGAAATTTACCCAAAGACACACAGCCAGTGCATAGGGCCGAGTCTGGCTCTCACACTGGTCCTCTTTCCTCCAAGCAGGTCAAGTTTCAGGAAGAAGGCAGTCTTCACTCAGTAAACAAGGACCCGGGGAGAGCCAGCTGTGGGCTGGGCAGTGGAGCCATAAGGCTGGCTGAACATTTACCCAAGCAGGAAACCAAACAATCCCTGTCCCAATGGGGAACACATCCGTTAAGTACTTAGCACAGTAACTTTCTGAGTCTCTACCAGGTGAAGCATTATCTGGGTGCTAAAGGGGCATATTTTCTTAGCCTAGTTAGGGGAAGGAGGGAGAATGTAGGAGCAGAAAGGGATGAAGGCGCCGGGAATTCTATCAGGCGCACAGTTCCACCCCTTGGGTAGTGCCGTGGAAGATGCGTTCGGTTCTGCAACCAGATCTGGGTTCCAATCCTGACTCCTAAAGTCGCCAGCTGTGGATCCTGGGGAAAGTTACTCCACCTCTCCGGGCCTCAGTTTCCTCATCTTCCAAATGGGGATTCGGAACATACTGACAGAAATGTGGTTTTAAAGCCCTCAAGGGCACTGATGGGCCTGATTCAGGGTGAGTGCTCAATGAGTCTTGGTGTCGCACGTGACCTGAGCGCAGGGGAAGCCGGGGAATAACAGAGCGTGGCCCAAGCTAAGCTCTCTCCCGCGCACCCTGCGAATCACAAGCCTGACCTGCACCCACAAAGTACCTCACCTCCCTCAGTCCCCACCTTCCGAGCCCTTACCATGGCGGCAGGAGCCTCCGGGTCGCACCTGCAGTGGGATCCCTAAAGGACCATGCTCCGCCGTAACAGGCCTGCGTACGGAGCATTGCATTCTGGGATCTGTAGTCCGGATGGAACAGCTGCCGCCGGCCCCAGGCCTGGTGGGCGTGGCTTCTCCTCCTCCCGACGTGCCCCGCAGCACGGAGGCCGGCCCGGAAGCCCGGGGCCACGGGTTCCAGGTGCTGACGCGCCACGTCAGCTGGCGGCTTGGGATCCGGAGACATGGCCGCGCCGGGGCCCGCGCTCTGCCTCTTCGACGTGGACGGGACCCTGACGGCCCCGCGGCAGGTAGGCGGCGCCCTGCAGGCTGGAGGCGGCAGGTGCAGGGTCTCCTGCGGCCCCAGGACCGGGCCAGCGGCCACCCAGGGTGGGCACCGACGGGCGGCTGAGGACCGCCCACCTCCTGGCGGGACTCAGCTCTGTTCTGGGTGTCCTGGAGGGATGAGACGGAAGACCTCGGGGCGCTTGGAGAGGGGATGGGCCGAAAAAGTCTTGAGAGTAAGAAACAGTGATTGGCACTCACCTTAAGCCCTAGGTTTGGACCCCTGCCCTGCCCCCTGGCCAGCGGTGTGCCCTCCTCGTTCTGTCACCTGTGGGGTGTGCCCCGTGTCCTGATACGGAAAACAGGTTCTTCGTTCTAACGGGCCCGAGGAGAGTCTCTGCTTTGCCTCTTGACAGCTGTGTGACTTTTAATCTCGGCGCTTGAGCACCTGTGTTTGTGAGGGTCGAATGAAATCAAATAAGTTCATGAAAGTATCTTGACTTGCAGTAAGCTCTGTTCAGTAATGGTCCGTAAATGTTAGCCAGCACTGTCACCCCCTTCTCCAGCCCCTGCAGTGGGTCTTGGTTGGTCAAAGGCACCCAGATTGGCCCAGCGGGTGTGGCTCAGGGGTTGAGCATCAACCTATGAACCTGGAGGTCACAGTCGGATTTCCGATCAGGGCACACCCCTGGATTTCGGACTCCATCCCGGGTTGTGGGGGGGAAGGGAGTTTTGAAGGAGGCAGCCTATCCATGATTCTCATCCTTGTTGTTTCGCTCTCTCCCTTTCCCTTCCTCCCTGAAATCAATTAAAAATATATATATTTTTAAAGAAAGCGAGCCGAGGCTGGTTTGGCTCAGTAGATAGAGCGTCGGTCTGCAGACTGAAAGGTCCCAGGTTCGAGTCCGGTCAAGGGCATGTACCTTGGTTGCAGGCACATCCCCAGTAGGGGTTGTGCAGGAAGCAGCTGATTGGTGTTTCTCTCTCATCAATGTTTCTAACTATCTCTCTCCCTTCCTCTCTGTAAAATATCAATAAAATATATTTTTTTTTAAAGAAAAAGAAAGTGAGAGACCTAGATTGTTACAGGCTGCCTGATGAGAGCCTCCCTGGACTCATGGAAGCTTGTTTCCCACTTGTAGACACAGACAGGTTTCAGTTAAGATCCCCATTTGTGATGCAGCTCCCTCTGACCTCCACCTTCTCCTACAAACGGGTCACCCGACACCAGCTGATCCACTTGAGGCCCAAATGGCCTCCCTCTCTCCAAGTTCTGAATCTAGTTTTGGCCAGGTGGTAGCAGTGGTGTGCTTCAGAATTCCACATCCAGTGTGTGTGACCTTCACATGTCATTTTACCTTTCTGACTCCATGTTCCATGTGCCTAGTGAAGACACTCAGCTGCAAGTTCTCCAGAGGCCCCTTTGGACTCTGAGATCAGTGATTGGCACACACTTGTGGGTTGTTAAAAGCCACTAGAGGTGTAGAGCCGAGGTTAGCCATTCATTGTTTATCAAGAGTCTGAGAACAAATACTCTTGTCTTCGCCAACCATATGGGTTGTAGTAACGACTCAACTTTAATGCAAAAGCAGCCATAGACCATATGTAGACACAGCGTGGCTGTGTTCCAGTAAAACTTTATTACAAAAACACACAGCTGCTCAGTTGGGTCCATTGGCTGTAATTCCTAGGGTTTACATCCCAAGCCTTTTTACACACCACTATCTTTGGATCCTCTCAACCTTTATCCTAAATTGAATAGTTGTTACTATCCTCTTTTATATATTTTTATTTTACTTTATTTTATTGTTTTATTTTATTTATTTCATTTATTTTATTTATTTTATTTTATTATTTTATTTTATTTATTTATTTATTTATTTTTTTGAGAGAGAGGAAGGGATAGATAGAGGGAGAGAAACATCGATCGGCTGCCTTCTGCATACATTCCCAACATTGGAGATATATATGTATATGTGTGTGTGTGTATATATATATATATATATATATACACACACATATATATATATATACACACACACATACACACACACACACAATATTGAATGTGATTTGTAATCCTATATAATAAAAGGCTAATATGCAAATCGACCAAATGGCAGAACAACAGGTCGCTATGACGCACACTGACCACCAGGGGGCAGACACGCAATGCAGGAGCTGCCCCCTGGTGGTCATTGTGCTCCCACAGGGGGAGTGCCACTCAGCCAAAAGCCCTGAGCCAGGCTCATAGCTGACGAGTGCAGCAGCAATGGTGGGAGTCTCTCCCACTTCCACGCCAATGCTAAGGATATCCAACTGCTGGCTTAGGCCTGCTCCCCTGCCATTAATTGGACATCCCCCAAGGACTCCTGGACTACGAGAGGGTGCAGGCTGGGCTGAGGGATGTGCCCCCCCACCCCAGCGAGTGCATGAATTTTGTGCATCGGACCTCTAGTTCAAAAATAAAAATCTTAAAACATAAAAAAAAAAAAAAAAAGAAATTGTCTTGATTTCACACAGCAGCTTTGGTACCAGAACATTGTATTTGCTAAGTTTACCATTTTCTGCCATTTTTCTAAGGTGGAAGCAATGTGCCATTCAGGAAAGTGCTTTTGATTCTCAGAAGGAATCAGGTTATATAAGCTAAAGTATGAAATGGCAACCAGGCAACCCACATTGGAGGCATAAATCAGTTTAATACTCAAAAACAATGTAATTTAAAAAATCAAGCTAAGAAAGAAAAAAAAAAACAATGTAATTTAAAAAATAATTGTTTCTTTGCACAGGGTACTCTAGGTAAAAAATTTTTTAAAAAAATTTAATAACAGATCTATTCCTTATCCAACTTTTTCCTTCCTCAATAAATTGATTATCACATTGATAAGCACAAGGAAGTAGAAGAATGGATTGTTATCTTTTCTTGTAGCTGCTGAAACAGGATATGATTTAAACAGGTAAATTCTAGTTAGAATGGAGTCCATAGTGTTGCACATTTCACTGTTTTAGAATTTTGTTGTACTGAGTGCTTTCCTAAGAAATGCCATTTCATCTAAAAACAGTTGAGGTTTGCCCAGCCAGCGTCGCTCTGGGTTGAGCATCGACCAATGAATCAGGAAGTCAAGGTTTGATTCCTGGTTAAGGCATATGCCCAGGTTACAGGCTCGATTCCCAGTGTGGGGCATGCAAGAGGCAGCCAATCAATGATTCTTTCCTCATTGATGTTTCCATCTCTCTCCCTTTCCCTTCCTCTCTGAAGTCAATAAAAATAGGTTTAATTAAAAATATAAATATAAATATAAATATATATATATATATATATATATATATATTTTGAAACTTAGAACAAAAGCCTGCAAAAGAAGGGGGCTTAAACGTGGGTGAATTGTTTTCCAACTTTCTGTCATGAGAAATTTAAAACATACTGAGCCACTAGAAAAATAGTACATAGAACAGCCAAATCCCCACCACTTAAATTCAACAATAATTGACATTAACTTTATCTTTTTTTTCTTTTAATCTTTGCAGTATTATTTCTTAGGCTGCAGTAATCATAGTACTTCACCCCTAAAATGTGAGCTTGCCTCTCTAGAGGACAGAACATGTATTGTAACCACAGTATCATCATCACACCTAAGAAAACTCACCAATTCTCTAGTAGTGCTTAGTCCAGGGGTGGGGAACCTTTTTTCTGCCAAGGGCCATTTGGATATTTATAACATCACTAGAGGCCCGTAGCATGAAAATTCATGCACTGGAGGGGGGGTTCCCTCAGCCCGGCCTGCCCCCTCTCACAGTCTGGGAGCCCTCAGGGGCAGGAGGCGACCTGGTGATGAGGGGAAAGCAATGCCCCATCACACCTCTGCTGCTGCCACTGCCGGCAGCGCAAGCCTTGGCTGGCCCTGGTTACCTGAGTCTTGGGGGGCCCTGGGAGGCTGGGGGGCTGAGAGGGCTGGGGGACTCCAGAGGCAGGTGCACAGAGTATTCAGGCATACCTTGGGATGGGCCCGGTCTTGCCACGCACCTGTCGCCCCAGCAGGGCTGAGGGCACTGGGCGCTGCCATCTTGTGGCTGTGGTTACCACTATCTTTGAGGGCATGGCAGTCAATTAGCATATTCCCTCCTTATTGGCAATGAGTGCCACCATCTTTGAGGGTTGGGCAGTCAATTAGCATATCCCTCCTTATTGGCTGTGGACGCCGCCATCTTAGCAACAGCATGAGGGTCAATTAGCATATTCTCTCTTTATTAGATAGGATTTGAGGGCCAGACAAAATTATCAACTTAAAAATTAGCCTACTATATGTGGTCAGACATTTAATTAATTTTTTTGTAAAAGGCCAAGCAGTAAATAGTTGAGGCTTTAAATAAATAAATAAATATATAAATAAATAAATAAATAAATAAATAAATAAATAAATAAATAGTTGAGGCTTTGTGCACGCCGTGTGGTCTCTGTCACAACTACTCTATTCTTGTTGTTGCCATAGACACTACATAAATGGGTGGACGTGGATGTGGCTGTATTCCAGTCAGACCTTCCAGAAAAACAGGCAATGGCTCATTGTGGTCAATGGTTCCCAAAAGAGTCGTTTATAATTTTTCTTAATTGTCCCCAAAAAGTCTTTTATAATTTTTTTCCCCAGAAGGTGAATTTTTAACATTTTTTCTACTTCAAGCTTTTGGATCTTGTTCTGTGTTTTATTTTGTCTAGGGCAGCGGTCGGCAAACTCATTAGTCAACAGAGCCAAATATCAATGGTACAATGATTGAAATTTCTTTTGAGAGCCAAATTTTTTTAACTTAAACTTCTTCTAATGCCACTTCTTCAAAATAGACTCGCCCAGACAGTGGTATTTTGTGGAAGAGCCACACTCAAGGGGCCAAAGAGCCGCATGTGGCTCACGAGCCGCAGTTTGCCAACCACTGGTCTAGGGTGATTGATAAAGAGTTCCGTGTAATTAGCAACACAGTGTTACTTGGTAACATCACAACAATTTTGCTGTAAAGGTCTGCCCTGCCTTACCTGGTTTGGCTCAGTAGATAGAGTATTGGCCTGAGAACTGAAGGGTTCTGGGTTCAATTCTGGTCAGGTTGGGGGGCTTGAACCCCAGTGGTGTGCAGGAGGCAGCCGATCAATGATTGTCTCATCATTGATGTTACTATCTCTCCTCCCTTCCTCTCTGAAATCAGTAAAATATATATTTAAATACACACACACACACACACACACACACACACACACACACACTAGAGGCTAGCTGCACAAAATTTGTGCACGGGGGGTGGGGAGTTCCCTCAGCCCAGCCTCCCATCTGGACTCCTCGAGGGATGTCTGACTGCCTGCTTAGGTGGGATTAGGTCTAAATGGAAATCCCTCTCATAATCCAGGATTGCTGGCTCGCAACTGCTCACCTGCCTGCCTTCTTGATTGCCCCTAATCACTTCTGCCTGCCAGCCTGATTGATGTCTAACTGCTCCCCTGCCAGCCTGTTTGCCCCAACTTTCCTCCTCTGCCAGCCTGGTCACCCCTAACTGCTCTCCCCTGCAGGCTTGGTCCCTTCAACTGCTCTCCCCTGCAGGCCTGGGTCCCTCCTAACTGCCCTTTCCTGCAGGCCAGTCACCCCCAACTTTTCTTCTCTGCCGACCTGGTCACCCCTAACTGCCCTCCCCTGCAGGCTTTATCTCCCCAATTGCCCCCCCTTACAGGCCTGGTCCCTCCCAACTGCCCTCCCATGCTGGCCATCTTGTTGTGGCCATCTTTTGTCCACATGGGGCAGGATCTTTGACCACATGGGGACAGCCACCTTGTGTGTTGGAGTGATGGTCAATCTGCATATTATGTTTTATTAGATAGGCTAGAGGCCTGGTGCATGGGTGGGGGCCAGCTGATTTGCCTAAAGGGTGTCCCGGATCAGGGGGAGGGGGGTTCCTTTGGGGTGTGGGGCGGCCTGGGTGAGAGATCTGTGGTGGTTTACAGTCTGGCCAGTGACCCAAGCAGAGGCCTTGGTATCTGGGGTTTATTTATCTTCTACAGTTGAAACTTTGTATTCTGGAGCAGAGCCAAGCCTTCTGTTCCCTCCATTGTGGCAGCCATTTCTGTTGGCATTTATTTATGTTCTGTAATTGAAACTTTGTAGTCTTAAGTGGAGGCCTGGGCTGGCCAGGGTGTGCAGAAAGCTTGGATTCCTCCATCGCCAGGGAAACCCAAGCCTCACTCCTGCTCTCTGGGGCAGCAGCCATTTTGGTTTGGTTAATTTGCATACTCCTAATTGGCTGATGGGCATGGCTTGTGGGTGAAGCAGAATGCTGGTTGATTTGCATATTACCCTTTTATTAGATAGGATTTTAGCATCTGTCCTGCAATTGGATATGGTTTAGATGCTCTGTTGTGGTCAAAAGCAGCTTTATCTTATTTCCTGTTAAAAAATATTGGCAGCCACTTGGAAGTGAAAAGGCACCTTTTACAATCCATTCACATTGCAGAACAGGTCTGATGGCTGACCACAATACCATTTAGCTGATTAGTGTATACAAGGCTTCTGTTTGAAGATGGAAGTATTGATGCTGCTGTTATTAGTATTGCATGTTTAATATTTTGCAATCAAAGGAGTCTTTCCCACTTCCTCCCATTCTGACATCAAGATGGAGCAATTCACTTGGGTGCCTCAGGGACTCCTTTCATGGTTATCGACTCATCGATGCTGCTATTGCAGTTCTAGATTTTTGTCTGCTGGGTCAAGATTCCCTTGGAAGATGGAAAAAAGATTGCACTCCATTCAAGCCCTTCTATTTGATTAATCATATGTCTGTACTATAAAAATTGTTTTAAGAAAAAGAGGATTTAACTCTAAATGTTTATATACTGAAGTTGACTTAAGTGGTTGTTTTTAATTTCTGGTAACTATGTTTGAAAGATATTCCATCTAAGTGTTACTGGACAGGACTGGGTTTGGAGTGGATCTCCTGGGATGGCCAGTAGTGTGTGGTTTCTTGATTTCATGCCGGAAAGGTTTAACAAATGCGTCCAAGTGATTTTGAGAGTATGTTTATTAAAGCTGGGACAGAGAAACAGGAAGGGCTTAGGAGAGAAGAGGCAACAGGAGAGAGGGCTGCTTCGGCTTTTAAAAATGTTCTAGGAAAGAATGGGCCCCGCTGGGCTGCAGGAACTCACTAAGAAGTAAAAGCCACAACAGAAGTGAATCAAGGTGGGGCTGCTGTGAGCTCACTGGGAAGTCAGAGAAAATGGAGCCTTGGACACAGGTTCAGGGGGCAAGCCTGCGATGGGCTGCCGCTGCCCACTGCTCCCCTATTTGCAGTCTTGCGGGCACCCTTAGGGTTTAGGAAAAAGAGCAGAGATACACGCCTAAGGGAGAAAGGCGGGGGCATGCTGTAGGGAGAAGGCACCATGGGTCCTTTGTCTTGAGACTTTTTATCTTTCTTTGCTGGATGGGAATTTTTAGGGGCCGGTCTTAACAGAATATTCGTTAGTTTCCCAGGTGTGTCCTTCAATATGTTGATTCATCAAAATGTGGTAAAAGGTGTCAGGGTTATTTCCCGGTTAGTTTCATGTTTTAAAAATGTCATAGAAGAGGGACCAGGACTGAGGCCAGTCTGCCCCCAGGACAGTCTGGAATGTGTAAACCATTTGTTCTTAAGTGTCCTTGGTTAGAGAAGATAAAACCTTGTGATTCATTGCTCAAAATCAGGGGCCTTGTTTAATTATTTTGTCTCAGTTTCCCTTATGACACTTGGCAAGGAATTTCCCTAGTTTCTTACTACCCTGCCTCATACATGTTCAATTAAGATTTCTAAAAGCAATGATATAAGACATTTTTTAAAATATATTTTTATTGATTTCAGAGAGGGAGAGAAAGAGACAGCAATGATGAGAAAGAATCGTTGATCAACTGCCTCTTGCATGCCCCACACAGGAGATTGAGCCCACACTCTGTGCATGTATCCTGACTCAATATGATTTCCTGGTTCATAGGTCGACACTCAATCACTGAGCCGAACTGGCCAGGTGACATAAGACTTTTAAAAATTCATTATGACTTGTGTTAATAAACTCTTACCATTGAAACCACTCTTTATAGATAGGAGCATTTCTTGTAGAAAAGACTAAAAAAATCTAGTTATCTTTTAGGTTTTTTTGTTTTGTTTTGTTTTGTCTTGTATAATTATAATAAACCAAATCCAAACTTCCCCTTTAATCTGATTATGTTATTTTGTTTTAAAGTCGACAACCTAAATCCATAAACATAGCATTTGAAAGGAAATACTGCATCTGTGTATGGCATGGAATGAGCATCACATGAAAACACAAGTCACTGCAAAAGATGTGGATTGAGTCCACTCGTGTTTCTAAAAAATGAGACCTATTTCTATATGTATGTGCATGTAGCCAAGTATATAAATGCATAGAAAATAGCTGGAACAGTACACAACAGCTGTTAATATAGTGTGTGTTTTAAATGAGGTAATAATGAGTAAAGTTTAACAAGTTTTTTCTGGTAAAAAGTTGATATCTCCAAATTATAGCTGTCATATTTGGACTTGTCTACATACCTAGGAAGGAAATTGGCATGTATGCAAGTAAGGTTTCTATATTCCAAATTTTAGTCTCCTGAATACTTAATTCTTCATAACTTGTGTCTTCCTTTGTGAAATGCAGAAAATTACCAAAGAAATGGATGACTTTCTACAAAAATTGAGGCAGAAGGTCAAAATCGGAGTGGTAGGCGGCTCGGACTTGGAGAAAGTGCAGGAGCAGCTGGGAAATGATGGTGAGTTATACATTGCTAATTACAGTTTGGTAAAAGAGTAACTTCTTATGACGATATTGATACCCGTAGCCATGGAGTAACATAACTAGCCCTGAACCCTCATCCCTGTTTCCTTGTTTGGGGAAACATGTTCTCTGTCTTTCTTTTCCCCGGTTTTTCTTCCTGTAAATAAGTTTCTGGAGTTGCCGATAGAGCACTTGGTACTCAGATACATGAGTAGATTCATCTGGGTCTAGGGACTTCCTCTCTGTTGCCCCAACTCTGTGTCCCCCAAAGTTCCCTTAGTCATGAGTCAACCAGACTCCTCCCCTGAACCATAATCCCCAGCACAGGACCCCAGGAAGCTGGCGATTCTTACGGGTTTTCATTGGAGATTCTGACTCAGTAGGTCTACAGGCTGGGAAACGTATTTTAGCAGCTACCCCGAGAGCTGCTAATGCCAGCCTGCTGCTGTAGCACTCTCAATTATTGGAAAGTGTCTGGTTATAAATTTGTCTTGAAGACTAGGACAGTTGATTATTCATCTCGTAGTCCCAGGGCCTCCACGGCGTCTGGCCTATAAGAAAGAGTGGGTGGAAAGGTAGATGAATTGAACATCACTGTTGATGTTTTTGTAACCAAGCAGAGTTCCATCCACTCAGATAGCCAATTGCTCTGATGTGGGTGCAGTGAAAGAAATTGGTGTTTATTGTATAGCACTACACAGGGGGACCAGGCGGCTTGTGTGGAAAACCTGAATTCCCGATGGTTTACAGACAAGAGGTTTTATAGAGCAGAAATCATGAGTAATTGTGAGTAGAGTCCAGGGTGGTCAAAACCAGTTTGGCTCAGTGGATAGAGCATTGGCCTGCGGACTCAAGGGTCCCAGGTTTGATTCCATCAAGGGCATGTACCTTGGTTGCGTGCACATCCCCAGTAGAGGGTGTGCAGGAGGCAGCTGATCAATGTTTCTCTCTCATCGATGTTTCTAACTCTCTATCCCTCTCTTTCTCTCTATAAAAAATCAATAAAAATATTAAATTAAAAAAAGAGTCCAGGGTTGGGGGCTGTGTCGATGGTCAGTTCTTACACAAGCTTCAGCACTCTTAGTAAGCTTCTGGTGGCATCTTGACCAGGTCTTGAACAGGGGAGGTCTGTAAGACATCTTGGGGTTGAAATCAGTGACATTATCTTAAGAGCAGAAAGAAAAGAACAGAGTTGTACATTTCATGCTTAACAGGTTACATTCTTCTGTTATCTCTTATTTAATTGATTTTAGAGTAATGAATGGAGAGAGAGAGGGAGAAACATGGATGTGAGAGAGAAACATCAATTGGTTGCCTCCCATACATGCCCTGACTGGAATCAGACTCGAAACTTAGGCATGTGCCCTGACCAGGAATTAAACCCTCAATCTTTTGATTTACAGGATAACATTCCAACCAACTGAGCCTCCCCTTCAGGCCCTTCTCTGTTATCTTAAGCAGATATATATGCATTTTGAAACTTGCTTTACAGGCAGGCCTGCAGGCCCCAGGACATGAATACATTCCAGTGCAACTGTGACTCTTAAGAGCTAATTTCATAACTAACTAAAAGCTAAATTCTAATGTATCAAATCTATTATGATTTGGCCCAGACAGTTCTCTGTCATAGGGCTGTCCTGTGCACTGCAGATGTTTAGCAGGGTCCCTGGCCTCACCCCCAGTGTAACAATCTAAATGCCCCCAGACATTCCCAAATGTCCTCTAGAGACAAAGTCACCCCCAGCTGGGAACCACCGTTCTAGATGTAATACCTTACCGTCTAAATCTGAGCAGGCTGTGATTCCTGGACCAATAGAGAGCAATTTCTGTGTTCCTTTTAAAACTCTGTTCCTTTTGCCTTAATTTTCCTTCTAGGTGCTCTGCTTCGAAACGCTAAACAACACAGTAAGGCACATTAAGCCTGGAAACTGTGCTACCTGGTCCCGATTGCCCTCTCTGCCTCTAGCCGTATATTTACCCACGGGCTCAGAGGTTCTGTGTCAGTGTAGGACAGTGCCCGTACTTTTCAGTGAGTCAAAACAACAGAATCAAAACGTTCAAAGCCAAAAGGAAGTGAGGACCCACCTGTGTCAGAGTCACCTGGGGAGTTCATTAAAATACCCCAGCACAGAGCCCGGAAATCCACATTTTAACAACACTTAACATTTGAGAATTCATTTCGATTTGGGTGTGTAGTCTCCAAATCTAACTACATATAAGAATCAGCTAAAGAGCTGCTTTTTTTTTTTTTTAATCTGATTTTTAGCCTGGTGCCTGCAGAGTGATTCAAAAAGCAGAGCCTAGAAGTCTGCACAGTTTCATCGTGTTGGTGATGCTGATTCACAGGAGGTTTGGAAACTGTCATTGGCTTCCATCTTCCTTTACAGACAGGCAGGCTGAAGGCAGAGGCATGAAATGGCCCATCACTGAGTCTCCCATCTCTAGCCTAGTGATCATATTTTAAATATGTAATGAAGAGCCTTAAAAATAAATAAACTAACAGAGCTCTTTCTCACGCTCCTAGTCTGTGAAGATGAGGTATTCTTTTAGAGTCCATACTGGAATTCAGCAGTTTAATTAGTGATACTTGTTAATCAAGACATAGAAACACAAGTTGCTATTCATTGCATTCTGAGTTTTCTTTTGTTTTGGTTGCAGTGATTGAAAAGTATGATTATGTGTTTCCAGAAAATGGATTGGTGGCATATAAAGATGGGAAATTCTTGTGTAAACAGGTGAGTTCTTAAGTATCCAATTACTGAACTGCTGTTTACTACTAGTAAAATGTTTTCCAAAATGTATTTGACCCGGCCAGTTCTGGGGAGGGATATTTGGGAGCTGAGGAACAGGGTGGGAATAAATCTTAATTCTGTATTTTTTTTTACATTTAGAATGTTGAATCATGGTACTATTACATATTCCAAATTGTTATCTATATTTTTATAACTTTTTTAAGGACACTTAATCTAATATTTCTGTTAAGATAGCAGAGGCTGGGACAAGCAGCGTCACTACAAACATATTAAGAAGTACTATGTACTTAATACTCTTGTCAGTATTAAGATCATTTTGTTCAAATACGATATCTGAGAAAGCCTGTGAAACAAATATATTTTGTGTAATTTGATTGAATAAAAGCAGCACCAATAAGCTCTGTGGGCCTTCCGTGAAGCCTTTGAAAGATAATGAGTACAAAGTCTTGACTAATGAAGTAAAAAATGCTTTTGACTGATCCCTTTCCGGTTTGCCTTATCGTCTCAACCAGAGAACAAAGGGAAAGAAGGGAAAAGGTGGTGGAGGCGCCATCCTCCCTGCCACATCAGCCCGTGTGGCCCTGGACTGACAGTGGCTGAAGATCATCTTAAAAGTGCCTCCCTCCAATCAAGTAACTCCAGTGTCTCCTTTATCCTAGAGTATTCAGGGGCACTTGGGTGAGGCCCTAATCCAAGACTTAATCAACTACTGTCTGAGCTACATTGCGAAAATCCAGCTCCCGAAGAAGAGGTGAGTTTGCTTTTAGCAGAGGCTGCCAAGGAATGCGGAGGGATGTTCTCCAATTCCATCCAGGTTGCTGCAAATGATGAGAATTCCTTCTTTTTATGGCAGCATAGTATTCCATTGTGTAGATGTACCATAGTTTTTGGATCCAATCATCTGCTGACGGGCTCCTAGGCTGTTTCCAAATTCTAGCTATTGTAGATTGTGCTGCTATGAACATAGGGGTGCATATATCCTTTCTAATTGGTGTTTCTAGTTTCTTGGGATATATTCCTAGGAGTGGGATTACTGGATCAAATGGGAGTTCCATTTTCAGTTTTTTTGGAAACTCCACACTGTTCTCCACAGTGGTTGCACCAGTCTGCATTCCCACCAGCAGTGCACGAGGGTTCCTTTTTCTCCGCAACCTCGCCAACACTTGTCATTTGTTGATTTGTTGATGTTGGCCATTCTGACAGGTGTGAGATGGTACCACATTGTTGTTTTGATTTGCATCTCTTGGATAATTAGTGACTTTGAGCATGTTTTCATGTGCCTCTTGGCCTTCCTTCTGTCTTCTTTTGAGAATATTCTATTTAGGTCCATTGCCCATTTTTTAATTGGATCATTCATCTTCCTTTTTTTAGTTGTATAAGCTGTCTGTAGATGTTGGAGATTAAACTTTTATCAGTGGTAACATTTGCAAATATGTTCTCCCACACAATGGGCTTTCTTATTGTTTTGTTGATTGTTTCTTTTGCTGTATGGTTTCTTTTTTGATGGTTTCTTTTTATTTTGATATAGTCCCATTTATTTATTTTCTCTTTAGCTTCCATTGCCCTAGGGGCAATATCAGTGAAGAAGTTCTTTTGGCATATGTCTGAGATTTTGCTGCCTGTGGATGCTTCTAGTATTTTTATGGTTTCCCGTCTTACGTTTAAGTCCTGTATCCATTTTGAGTTTATTTTTGTGTATGGTGTAAATTGGTGATCTAGTTTCATTCTTTTGCATGTATCTGTCCAATTTTCCCAACACCATTTATTGAAGAGACTGTCTTGACTACATTGTAAATCCGTGCCTCCTTTGTCAAATATTGGGCATAGTGATTTGGGTTGATATCTGGGTTCTCGATTTGATTCCATTGATCTATATGTCTGTTCTTGTGCTAGTAACAGGCTGTTTTGAGAACAGTGGCTTTGTAGTACAGCTTGAAGTCTGGTATTGAGATCCCTCCTACTTTACTCTTCTTTCTCAGGATTGCTGTGGCTATTTAGGGTCTTTTATTATTCCAAATGAACTTTTGGAGAGTTCTTTCTAGGTCAGTGAAATATGCCGTTATAGACTGCTTTAGGAAGTATGGACATTTTGATGATGTTGATTCTACCAATCCATGAACATGGTATGTTCTTCCATCTGTTTGCGTCTTCCTCTATCTCTTTTTTCAGTGTCATGTATTTTTCCGCAAATAGGTCCTTTACTTCCTTAGTTAAATTTATTCCTAGGTATCTTAATTTTTTTGGTGCATGGTAAATGGAATTGCTTTTTTAGTCTCTGTTTCTGTAATTTCACTGTTGGTGTGTAGAAATGTCATGGATTCTTGGCATTAATTTTGTATCCTGCTACATTGCCAAATTCATTTATTAAGTCAATTAGTTTTTTAATGGAGTCTTTTGGGTTTTTTATGTACAATATCATGTCATCTGCAAATAAGTATAACTTCTTCTTTTCCAATTTGGATGCCTTTTATTTCTTCTTGTCTAATTGCAATGTCAAATAGGAATGGCGATAGTGGGCATCCCTATCTTGTTCCTGTTCTTAGAGGAAATGGTTTTAGTTTTTGCCCATTGAGTATGATGTTGGCTGTGGGTTTATCATATATAGCTTTTATTATGTTAAGATAAGATCCTTGTACTCCCACCTTGTTGAGAGTTTTTATCAGGAAAGGGTGTTGGATTTTATCAAATGCTTTTTCTGCATCAATTGATATGACTATATGATTTTTATCTTTCATTTTGTTTATGTGATGTATCACATTTATTGATTTGCGGATATTGTACCATCCTTGCATTCCTGGAATAAATCCTACTTGGTCATGGTGTATGATCTTTATGCTGTTCTGCTGGAGCCAATTTGCTAGAATTTTGTTGAGGATTTTGGCATCTATGTTCATGAGGGATATTGGCCTGTAATTCTCTTTCATTGAGTTGTCTTTATCTGGTTTTGGTATTAGTGTGATGCTGGCTTCATAGAAGGAGTTTGAAAGTGTTCCTTCCTCTTGAATTTTTTGGAATAGTCTGAAGAGGATAGGTTTTAGTTCTTCCTTGAATGTTTGGTAAAACTCTCCTGTGAAGCCATCTGGCCCTGAACTTTTGTTTGCTGGAAGCTTTTTGATGACTGTTTCAATTTCTTCCCAAGTCACTGCTCTATTGAGATTTTTAGATTCTTCCTGATTGAGTTTTGGAAGTTTGTATTTTTCTAGGAATATGTCCATTTCCTCCAGGTTATTCAGTTTGTTGGAATAGAGTTGTTCTTAGTATTTTGTAACAATCCTTTGTATTTCGGTGGGGTCTGTTATTATTTCACCTCTTTCATTTCTGATTTTGTTTATTTGAGTCCTCTCTCTTTGTTTCTTGGTTAGCCTGGCTAGAGATTCATCTATCTTGTTTATCCTTTCAAAGAACCAGCTCTTGGTTTTGTTGATCTTATGTATTCTTTTTTTGGTCTCAATGTCTTTATCTCCGCTCTGATTTTTGTTATTTCCTTCCTTCTGCTTACACTGGGCTTTTCTTATTGCTCTTTTTCTAACTCTTTGAGTTGTAGAGTTAGATAATTTGTTACCATTTTTTCTTGTTTTTTGCAATAGGCTTGTAGGGACATGAACTTCCCTCTCAAAACTGCTTTTGCTGTGTCCCATAGATTTTGGATTGTTGTGTTTTCATTGTCATTTGTTTCCAGGATGTTTTTAATTTCTTCCTTGATTTCTCTGGTAACCCAGTCCTTATTTAATAACATGCTGTTTAGTCTCCATGTGAGAAACATTTTTTAAATGGCATTTAAGCTTAAGAGCAATTCTGCACTTTGGTTACTCCTCACCTGGGGATATTTTTTCCATTGATTTTTAGAAAGAGTGGAAGGGAGGGGAGAGAGACACATCAATTGGTTGCCTCCCGCACACTCCCTGCCTGGGCCAGGGATGGATCCTGCAACTGAGGTACGTGCCCTTGACCAGAATTCTGCAGGCTGATGCTCTATCCACTGAGCCAATCTGGCTCGGGCACCTTCTGCTGCACCTTCTCTTTCCAAAAGGGTCTCATAGGATGAGACGGGGTGGACCCAGCTTGCAGCTGGGTGAGGGCACGTGGGTGTTCGTTATCCTTCTCTGTCTACTTGTATGTGTATTGGCAATTCTCCATAATGAAAAGCGACTATATCTTACATCCCAGGCCAGCTCAGTCTCTCCGTTAAGCATTAAGGAAGGATAAAAAAGGCAAGCAGAACCCTGTCCTCAGACAGGAGTCCCCTCAGGGGGGAAATCCGTGTGTGGAGCAGTAGTTCTGAATTAGCGTGACATGGTTGCTGAATTCAAGAGGCAGAACTGAGAGCTAACCTGATCAGCCTTTGCCCACACTTCCCAGCAGGACTAACTGTAGCAGTAAGACTTTGATGTGGAGTTGAATGCTAGACAAACCACCTTAATCCTGATTTTTAGAACAAAAGGCTTTCTAAGATGTATCAGCTTCCCTTTGTGCCATGGAAATAGAGCACTGTGTCCCTGAGTTGGGGAAATTAATTGAGCTCTTTTTCTGACAGTTTAGGACCCTGGGTCGCCGTGGGAATGGTCACCAGTCCCTTCGCCCCCACTGTACATGTGGAAGGTGTAGGGGACATGGCTGATCTGCACCGACACCAGGACCCCCGGAGTGAGGGGGTTTAGAGAAAATGTCCCAGGTGCACCGCAAGTTAGGCACAGCGGGGAAAGGAGTTGGGGTCGCAGTGCGCTGTATTTACCTTCTTGTGAGTACTCACTGCTTCCCACTATGCAGATGGCTTCTGCGTAAGCTGGAACATGAGGTCTTCACAAGACCTTCAGAGGTAACCAGAGCGGATGCCAATAGCCCCAGCTGAGGCTAGATAGGGCCCAGAGTCGCCCAGCCCGTAAGAGGGGCCTTGGCCTTGAACAGGGTCCTTGCTCTCATGCAGCCTGAGTCCTCACAGCATTTACAGGTGGTGCTGGCTGGACATCGGAGCTGTGGGGCGGGGACAGCAGAGGGTCCAGAAAGAATGAGTCAGCCTCACAGGCATCCCTGCTAGAACCAGAAGACACTTCTGTACACAAAACAATTTGGTCTCATTTGTCACAATAAATAGCTTACCAGTTACTTGAGTTTTTAAGAAACTCTTTTTGAGATTTAAACTGGAAACACGGTAAAGTGGTTTTTTTTTTTTTTTTTTTTTAAGAAACCCCTTCATTTGAGGTAACTTCAAAAGGGTCAGGCTGTTCTTATTTTCTGTGTTACATCAACCCATCAGAAACAGCCCACCAGTGGGTGCAGAGTATCCTCAGTCCCTGGGAGTTGGTGAGGTGACCCTCAGAGTCTTTTCCTGGGCCATGTTGCTTGGTAAAGCAGTGATTTCAGGAGGTCCCTGCAGAGTTGTCTGGGACATACATTTTCAAACTCCTCAGGAAACTTGGAGAGCTTGTCATCATTTTTATTAACTTAGACTCTGCCCAACGCCAGAATAAAATGTGAGTTTAGGTTTTCTATAGCCACATCAAAATAGAAAAAACAAACGAACAAGTGAAATTAATTTCAATGTTGCATTCAGTCCCATATATTCAAACTATAATTATTTTAACACTAGAGGCCTGGTGCACAAAATTCGTGTATGGGGAGCGGGGGAGTGTCCCTCAGCCCAGCCTGCACCCTCTCTGATCTGGGACCCCTCGAGGGATGTTCAGCTGCCCATTTAGGCCTGATCCTACAATCCAGGACTGCTGGCTCCTAACTGCTCGCCTGTCTGCCTTCCTGATTGCCCCTAACTGCTTCTGCCTGCCAGCCTGATCACCCCCTAACCACTCCCCTGCCAGCCTGATTACTCCCTAACCACTCCCCTGCTAGCCTGATTGATCCCTAACTGCTCCCCTGCCAGCCTGATTGCCCCTAACTGCCCTCTTCTGCCAGCCTGATCATGCCTAACTGCTCTTCCCTGCAGGCTGGTCCCCCACAACTGCTCTCCCCTACAGGACTGGATCCCCCTCCAACTGCCCTTCCCTGCAGGCCCAGTTGCCCCCAACCTCTCTCCTCTAACAGCCTGGTCACCCCTAACTGCCCTCTCCTGCTGGCCTGATCTCTCTCAACTGCCCTCCCTTGCTGGCCATCTTATAGTGGCCATCTTGTGTCCACATGGGGGCAGCCATCTTTTTTTTTTTATTATTAAATTATCTGTGTACATATTTTAACATTGCCCCTCCCCCTCCCATTCATACCCTCCCTCCCCAGAGTTTTGTGTCCATTGGTTATACTTATATGCATGTATACAAGTCCTTCGGTTGATCTCTTATCTCCCCCAGATCTCCCTATTCTCCCTGCTGTAATTTTACAGTCTGCTTGTTGCTTTACTGTCTTTATATCTATCTTTTGGTTTGTCCATTTATAATGTTCTTTAATATCCATAAATGAGTGAGGCCATGTGGTATTTATCTTTCATTGACTGGCTTATTTCACTCAGCATGATGTTCTCTAGTTCTATCCAGGTTGCTGCAAATGATGAGAATTCCTTCTTTTTTATGGCAGCATAGTATTCCATTGTGTAGATGTACCATAGTTTTTGGATCCAATCATCTGCTGACGGGCACCTAGGCTGTTTCCAAATTCTAGCTATTGTAGATTGTGCTGCTATGAACATAGGGGTGCATATATCCTTTCTGATTGGTGTTTCTAGTTTCTTGGGATATATTCCTAGGAGTGGGATTACTGGATTAAATGGGAGTTCCATTTTCAGTTTTTTTTGGAAACTCCACACTGTTCTCCACAGTGGTTGCACCAGTCTGCATTCCCACCAGCAGTGCACAAGGGTTCCTTTTTCTCCGCAACCTCGCCAACACTTGTCATTTGTTGATTTGTTGATGTTGGCCATTCTGATAGGTGTGAGATGGTACCGCATTGTTGTTTTGATTTGCATCTCTCGGATAATTAGTGACTTTGAGCATGTTTTCATGTGGGGGGCAGCCATCTTTGACCACATGTGTCAGCCATCTTATGTGTTGGAGTGACAGCAATTTGCATATTACTCTTAGTAGATAGGATTGTGAACATGAATTACTGATGATTACATTCCTTTTCCTACTAAACCTTTGAAATCTCAGTTCAGATGAGCCGAATTTCCAGACTCTCAGCCACACGTGGCCCGTAGCTGCCAGGAGGCCCCGCCCAGTGGAGTGTGGGTCACACCAGCCTCTGCCTTCAGAATTGCACAACTTTTCAGTCATCTATCCATCTAGAATGTTGCCCAGATTGGATAATGTGCCTCTGTCCCCTTCCTCTCCAGGGGTACTTTCATCGAGTTCCGAAACGGGATGTTAAATGTGTCCCCTATTGGAAGAAGCTGCAGCCAAGAAGAACGCATTGAGTTCTATGAACTCGATAAAGTGAGTGTTTCTGAGACACCCTGTGTTTGGGCAGATCAGAGGTGCCACTTTGTGGCCACCGTTACCATGTGCAACACAGTGGACAACCAGTGTCTTCTTGTTTTCCTCAGAAAGAAAACATACGACAGAAATTTGTAGCAGATCTGCAGAAAGAGTTTGCAGGAAAAGGCCTCACGTTTTCCATAGGTATTGTATATTCAGACTTTGCCAGGAGTGTGTGGTGGGTGGGGCGTGCCTGAAGTTGGAGTGCCTTTGCAGGTGGGCACAAGGACTTAGGAGCAGCCCATCTGTAGGAGAAAGCCACTCTCCTGGGTGACGGGCCAAGCAGGGACTGGCCCTGCTAGGTAATGGCTTCCAGCTGCTGGGCTGGGCTCTAAGTTCTTACCTAGCAGGAGCCCTCCCTCCATTTTTCCTCCTGGTCAAAAACAAGAGCATCTTGCATATTAATGAAGAGTAAGAACTTCCCCTCACGCCTATGGGCAGGCAGGCCTGTTAGTGAGCTCCATAGCAGAGGTGGGATGGGAGCCTCTTAGGTACATTAGACCGGATTAGACATCAGGTCGGTTAGTTCTGCAAATCAAGAAAGGAAAGGGGCCTTGGCTAGGCTCACCAGGCTTTGTTCACTACGACGTGACCAGCACACGACCGTTTCTGGTGGCTGATGCAGACTCCTTCCCATGCTCAGGCCTCAGGCTTGTTTTTTTAGTAGAATATGCCTGTCAAATGCTTCAAGCAAGACCGGCTCCCCTGTCAGTGCCTATGAATCATTTCTCAAAGCCCTGTCATTTACCAGCGCTAATAAACGTGTGGGTTGTGGAGAGACGGACTGCGAGGGACTATGTATAATAGATGAATGGGTGGGTTTTGAAGTGTTCTCGAACTGTGCGATGAACATTGTTCTGACACAGCGTTGAAAGGGTTTTTGTTGCGGTGAAAGCTGCCTGTAAATCACCTTCCCTGTGATTTTCATTGTCCTGCAAGACGAGCTGGATGCAGCCGCTTCCAGGCATCCTCCGCCTCCAAGCTGAGGAGTTGAAGCTGGAGTCATTGAGCACCACTGAATGGGGCTCTTACAACGTCCCCCAGCATGCTTCTCTGAAACCCACCTAAATGCAGTGCACCCCTGGCTCTGAGGGGTCCTCCAGGTCCCACTTTTAGGTTTTAGGGGGAATGACATTGGAAAAACACATAAGGTGGAAGGAACCTCCAGAGCCTACCCCTGAAGGAGTGCAAGCAGCGGGCCCCGGTGACAGGTTGCTAGCCTCCCTTTCACCTCGGCCTGTGTGTCCCCTCCCCTGGCAGGAGGCCAGATCAGCATCGATGTCTTTCCTCATGGATGGGACAAGAGGTACTGCCTGGGCCACGTGGAAAATGACGGCTATAAGACCATTTATTTCTTTGGAGACAAAACCATGCCAGTGAGTACAGAAGTGTTTTTGTGGTCTCATTGTTTGGTTTGGGCTTGAAGGGAGGAAATGGACAAATGGGCTTTTTTCCCCTTCACCCACACATTCCCCACTGGCCCAGCTCAAACTAAGTGATGCTTCTGTTGTCCGAAAGGGTGTGATTAGGGTGGTTAAGGCCCCCTCCCCTCCTGCTCGGACACCTGACACCTCAGTGGAGGTAAGAACCCAGCGAGCTTCAGTTTGGCTTTTGAATTAAACATTGCCCTCCTCCAGTGCCTTTCAGAACACCTGACCCAGGGCTGTTGTCAAATCCTCTGCATTTCAGAGCCCTTGCCATTCTCTTTCCTCAGTATTTTGTCTCCCAGAGGCATTCATTTAGGTTCTAAGTGATAGGAGACAGAGTTTCTTGAATTTTGGAGGTAAGGGATCAGTCCTGAGCATCACACACAGGCTATAGGAGTGTCAGAAACCCCTTTAAATTCCTCTCGCCCTCTGTGCCCTTGGTGTTACCTTGCCATCAGGCGTCCTGGGCCGTGCTGCACTCAGCCGGTGCATCATAAATGCTGCACAGGGAGTTCATCCTTCTCTCTCCAGTCCCCTCTGGAATACTTGGTTTGTTCAGCTAAGATCCATCCCATGTGGCCTTTCAACATGAAAGAAACTTCTGGACACACAGTTTCATGTCCTTTCAGAAGTATGAAATGGGTGTTCAGAAAGCGTAAGTAACTTGCCCAAGCTGGGAGCACCAGAACAAACACCTTGCTCTTTCAAGGAGTGTGCTTTCCAGTCAGCAAACCCTCTCCAGCGAGTGAGATTCTAATTCCCAAAGGAACACGGTTCTTTTCAGGAGGCAGAGCAGCCAGCCTTTTCCTAATGACAGAGAGAACCAGGTCTAATCACATCCTGTGCCCAGCACTCCGGATGCAGCGGTCCCTTAGTAGCGGCTTTGGGAGAAGGTAGCTGATGAAGGGCCCCGAGATCTAAGAAACGGCTAGGAGCTTCTTCAAGCCTCCCTGGGCGCCATCTCCTCCTGGCTGCGGAGAGAGCCCTCGCCAGGAGAGGACCCCTTTCTGTGAGGACGGCATTCTGCTGTGTTCCCAGGCCCCCAGGTGGGACTGCACAGTGCAACCTGGTTCTTGAGCAAGCCGGAAAGTGACTGCCTTTGGGAATTCTTCATTTGTGAATGTGTTTCCTGTTCTGTTTAGCCGCTACATTATCACACATCAGTTCTATTTCCTAAATCTTGCCTGCTTTAAAGAAATGGATACTATTTTTAATGTCTTTATTGATTTCAGAGAGAGGAAGGGAGAGGGAAAGACAGAAACATCAATGATAAGAGAAAATCATCATCAGCTGCCTCCTGTGTGCCCCCTACAGGGATCGAGCCCACAAACCAAGGCATGTGAATCGAACCATGACCCCCTGGTTCATGGGTTGATGCTCAACCGCTGAGCCACACAGGCCAGGGTAAAAAAATGGATATTATTCCATGGAGGTTCCTCCCCACCTCATTCTTAAGTAATATGCATTCATTGTAGAAAATGAGAAAAGGACGGGGAAGAAAGTATAAGTCACCTATCATCACTTCTGATGTGCCTCCAGGCTCTCCTCTTTGCAGATAGCTCAATGTGGGACTCTTGTATGTTCATTGTTTACTTCCTGCTTTTGTTCTCAAACCATATTTTATTTTCCACAAGTTAGTGAGTCTTCTCTGCAAACTAGATGTTAATGGCTATAGAACATTTTGTCATGGGGGCGCAGTCATTCACCTGTTCCCTACGAGAGGCGGTGCAGATCTCAGCTTCTTACTGTTGAAACGAGCACTGGTCAGCGCTCTCACATCATTCTTTGCCCTCAGCTCTGATACTCTTGTCAGTGGTTTCCTGGAAATGGCAGTGAACAGTCCAGCATTCTAAGCCTTTTAACAACATGTTGATTCTTAAAACTTTAGGCACAGAGCTATCAAATACTAGCTTTAAATGCTGCTCACATTCGGGGATAGACACTGTGAAAGCTGTTTTCTCTCTGTGTATCAAGGCAAATGTTTTTGCAGCTTCCAGGGAAGTGGCACCTGAGCTGAGAGCTGTCAGGGAGAAGCCATTTCCCTGCCGAGCACCCCGGGCTCAGGACAGCCTGCAACTCCTCTCCCGGCAGCCTCTGACGGGACTGGTGCCGCACAAAGGTGCCGCCTGCCGTGAGCACCTCTGGACAGCAGAGCAAAGGAGGAGGCCTGGGTCTTGCTTTTCTGAGTATTTGTCAGCTCTGAAGCCCCTCATCCTTCCCACCAGTCACAGCAGCCAGGGTCTGAAAACCCAGCTCCGAGTTCCACTCAGGGACCGGGGGAGGCCTGGTTTGCCTCAGGGAGGAGATGGCCAGGCACAAGCTGCCCTGCCTCACATTCCAGGAGCTGCAGCTCACTGTTACACACAGAAAGCAGCCACATGCTGCCAGCAAGCAGCACCCCCCCAAATTCCGAATTCCCATTTCCTACGCCTGCCCTGGTAGTCCACCAGCAGTGGCCCCGGACACTGGGCATCTTGCAGCGTTTGCTGTCATCTCTCAGCTCTTAGGACATCCTGGGCCTCTAGACCAATAGCTTTTATTCCTTCCCCAACTTTATTGAGGTGCTTATACAGACACACACACACACAGTGATTGTCCCCTGCAGCCGGGAGAAGCCCTGCTCCACGCTCGTTGAGGGCACAGCCCTCAGCTCTGTGCCCACAACAACCAGACATTTGACAGATGTTCGTTAACTGACCTGAGGTCAGCGCCCATGGGCAGCAGGAGTGTGAACTGTAGGCGACAGGGAGTCTGTCTGCCCGCAGGAGCGTCAGCTTCCTCTTAATCTCCTCTTTGTCTCCAGTGTCAGGATAATCAGGGTTCACTTATGTAAGTGTTGCAAAACTGGGGTGCGATGGGGACTGAGCCTCAGCCCCTCCCCTGCTGGACAGCATATACTGCCTTATGTTTCACCCCTGGCCCGCCTAGGGAGGATATAAATATTCATGGGCAGTTTCCCTGAGCTGAGGTCTCCTGTGGACCCATCACTCACTCTCACAAGATTGTGATCTCCGTTATTCATCCCTTTCCCCCTTCACTCCCTTTACCTTCTCTCAGGAAATGGTTGTGTGTCCTGCAAGCTGAGCTTCTGCAGCCCGAACCAGGGAGCCTCGGTGCGCATGCCCGTCATGTGGAAGCTTCGCTGTCTGAGGCCTCGCTGCTCCAGAGAGGCCCTGGCAGCTCAGTGCTTTGGCTCTGCTGCTGCCTCCCTCTAATCTGGTTTGCACGCTCTGTGCAGCCACTGTGCAGAGGCCAGCCCCTGGCAGGAGAGGAGTGTGGTAGAGGTTGGGGTTTGTGGTACAGGCGCTTCGCTGCCCTCTGAAAGCAAGCGGAGATGAAAGGGACCCAGCAGCCCAGCCCAGATGGGGAGGTTTTGATGCTCTGGACCCAGCTTCCGTGGGTGAATCCATAGTAGCTCCTAGCCATCCCAGCAGGACCAGGGAGACTCGTGCAAATTAGGCATCTGCCAGGCACACATCTGTCCCCCAATGTGACAGCCTCTCCAGGGAGGGGCAGGCACAGCTGTGAGTCCGCCGTCCTTCAGCGGGCACTCTGCCTCATGCTGCACCCCTGCTGGTGGCTGGGGCTCCCGACTCCACTCTGCTTCTGTCCTCACCCCGTTCTCCAGAGAGACCCAGCTGTAGGCGGGCTCATTGTGGCTTGGAGTGCCGCTTTCTGGTGGCTTCACAGGTCACAGGTCCTGACGATGGTCTGCAAACCCTCCGGGGCCTGGCAGGTTCCGAGAGCTGAGCTGCCTTCCCCGCAGGGAGCTGGTCACACGCTTGTCCCCTCTCTCTCTTCAGGTTTCTGCTCAGACGCCCCTCCCTGGTCACTCCGGGTTTCCTTCCTCTCTGTTCTCCGCACTCCAGCTCTTTCCCATGTCGGGAGCTAGAGGGCAGCCCTCATGTCCTTTTGTGGCTTGGTTGCCGCCCCTGTATCCCCAGTTTCTGAAATCATCCGGGCAGGCAGGGAACAGCTGGGTGACAGGTGATACGAACTGCCCGCCTAAGTCTGTGATGCTGGCTTCTTCCGGACACTGCGGGAGTTTGTTTTCCCTCTGAACATAGTGCTCTGTGGTGGTGTTTACTGAAAGAAGTCTGGCTTTTTTAAACCAGAGGAATTACTAGAAGTGGTTCCACAGCTGCTTGCTTAGGCAGCAGGCACAGGGCCCTGGGTGACCAGATGCCCGCAGGCTCCTGGGCACACTGGGAAGGGCAATCATGGCGCAAGGTCAGAGCCCGTCCGCCCAGCACACCTTGGGCCGAGCCTCGGCCCCTCCCCTCCCTGGGAAAGCTGCTGCTTGGGGACTGGTTAATCGGCAGCTGGGAAAGCCGGAGTGATTTCATGGGTCAGCCCGCTCTTTAAAAGGATGTCAGGTTTTCTGACAGATTTTTATGAGAAAAAAACATTTTTCTCAGCCACTATTTTCATTATATGAAAAACTAATTGATTTTGCTCAAGATTTGGAGATTGCTTATCCAGTTTTATGAGAAAACATTAGGAAATTCCACGAGAAGAAAAGCAGGAGCTGTCCCCCCACGGCACTTGGCAGGTAGCCCGATGCATTCACCTGAGACCGCGGGACTGGGACCCACAGTCACGGCACCCCACCCCCGTCCCCCCGAAGCAGCATGTCAGGTCCTCCCAGATCTGTGTCCTCAGCTCCTGGAGCGTAGTCCCCCAGATAAAACGCTGTGACAACACCCAGACAGCCGAACAGGGGCTGCTGCTGGTACTGCCACAGAGATTGCTTTCCGGGCCTTAGCCGTCCTATGGTCTCATCAGTACTCCCCCCAGCGCTGTGGGAGGTGCCACCACTCCCCACTTTCCAGGTGGGGAGTTGCCCAAAGAACCCCCCTGTCAGTGGTAGAACCAGGATCTAACCCAGGCCACCTGGCTCAGACAGCCGCATGGGGCTGTTTCTAGTTAAATGAATCAAAGTCAAATTCAGTTCCTCAGTCTGCTTGCCACATGGTGAGTGCTCCATAGTCACGTGTGGCACGTGGCTCAGAGACAGGCTTGTCCATCCAGGAAATCTGGGAGCAGGGTGCTCGGGCTGTGGCCTGCCCCCCTCCTGTGGCTCTTAGAGAAGCCCAGGTGCAGTGGAACAAGTCGATGGCACTGAGCATCCTGTCATCTGCTGAGCCTGCTTGTTTACAGAAGAACTAGAGGCCCCATGCACAAAATTCGTGCACTTGGGGACGGTCCCTCAGCCTGGCCTGTGCCCTCTTGCAGTCCCGGAGCCCTGGGGGGATGTCCAACTGACGGCTTAGTGGGCCTAAGGCATCAGTCAAACATCCTTAGCATTGCCAGGGAGGCAGGAGAGGCTCCCACCACTGCCGCTGTGCTCCCCAGCCATGAGCCCTGCTTGTAGCTGAGTGGAGCTCCCCCTGTGGGAGCACACTGACCACCAGGGGACAGCTCCTGCATTGAGTGTCTGCCCCCTGGTGGTCAATACACATCATAGTGACCAGTCATTCCATCGTTTGGTCACTTGCATGTTAGCCTTTTATTACATAGGATTTATTATATATGCTGGAGATGAGGCCCCCTAGAACCATAAGAAATGCAAAAAATTCACTTAACTCATTCTCCAGTTGCCCCACTTAAAATCAAATTTTGCCCCCCTGTGGGGCATGTGCTGCACCTTGGGAACCACTGGGCTTGACACTTTTCCTCTCTGAGCTTCTTTCTGAATACATACGCATATACCATGGGGATTGTAATCTCTTCTCCGCCTACCTCACTGGGTTGTCATGAGGTGGTTCTAAGCTAATAAACCTAGAAATGTTTTGTCAAGTGGTGTCTAAACGGGAAGGGATTGTTATTTTTAAGCTCACGGTACCCTCCCAGGTAGCAGGTGCTGATTACGGGAGGAGGACATGATTGTTTCCTGGGACTGTAGCTATGGTAGCTTTGCAGAGGGTTCCCCAGGCCTTGAGGGTGGGGGAGTGGGGGAGGTGTTAGGGTGAGCGCTAGAGGGGTAGTGAGGCCAAAGGGGGAGTAGCGGTCAAACCTCCGCACTTGGCACCATTCTTTAAATTGTACTGGCTCTTTCTCAGCTGTACCTGCTCGGGGCAGGGCTCCAATCTCCTGGAACCGGTGGGGACTGAGCCAGGGGAGAGCCAGGCGGGCTAGGAGGGCAGGTGTAGCCCCACCCCTGCGAGATTCAGCATGCTTCTGCTGCAGAGATGGCGCTGCTGCTGGAGCAGGGGAGGGTCTAACCCTGGGGGGTCGCTCAGGCCTGCTTCCACCCAGGTGTGGAGTTGGAGGGAGGAGAGGCGTGCCTGGCTCCAGTGGAGGGGGCCCAGCAGCAGCAACAGGCCTCAGGGGCACTGACTGGTGGTTGCTGGCGTGCTATTGTTGTGGGCATCCCTGGCAGGAGAAGAGATCAGATCCGGAGGTTCGGACTGCAGCTACCCCGGAAGCTGGGTCTTCTCCCTGTCCAATCAGCCTCCCCGTTTCCCCGCCCCCCAGGTGCAGGGGCTGGGGTAGGATGTCCATCCGTTCCCTAAGGGGTGTGGGGGCTGGGGTAGGATGTCCGTGCAGGGGGATTGGAAGAGCTCCCCATGGCCACTTGCTCTTCCTTCTTTGCAATCTGGGCTCCTGTCAGGCACTCTCCTCAGATCCCGGGGAACTAGGCTCTGGCCGCCCACCCCCTGCTGCACACCAGCCTCCTGCTGGTCTGCCAATATGTAAATTGGTCATTACTCTGATAATTAGCACATTACCTCTTTAGATGATAGATAAGCCTTCAGGCTTCACAAGAACACCTTGAGCTTGTTCATCAACATAATTACCCATCCCCGCTGAGTCACGGTTCAGGAGAAGGTGACACCCTTTCTCAGCGAGCCTGTCTCTTAGTTTCCAGAGGAACAAGGTAACCGAGGAAACCCTCCCTGCCCCATCCAATGGCAGGTCCCTCCTTCCCCTGGCAGCCCTGGCCCCAGGCAATGGCTGTGTCTGCTTCGTGTCTCCTCAGGGTGGGAACGACCATGAGATCTTCACAGACCAGAGGACCATGGGCTACACGGTGATGGCCCCCGAGGACACGCGCAGGATCTGTGAGGAGCTCTTCTCATAGCGCCCCTCCCTGGGAGGGCGGGAAGGCCCAGCTGCAAGCCCGAGAGGCTCGCCCAGTGGCCAGCCCGGATCCCTCCCTCCCTCCCGTGCCCATGGACATTTACAACCGCCCGGCCCAGGACAAACATGTAAGAACACTTCCTGAAACGAAGTACCTGCTGAGTGTCAGCTTGGAAGGAGCCTTGAGACCAGGGCACTGTGGTCATCAGCCGGTAGTAAGCTAAGTGACCTCTGAACTCTTGTTTTCCCACCCCACTTCCTGTTTGAGAGCCACAGACCACAGCGTGGCCTGTGGATGACTGGCCAGCCAAGTGACACCTGACCCAACAGAGCTTGCCCTCCGCTGGCCTGGTACACAGGTTAGCTCAGACCCACTACAGGGAGCTGGTTCTCTAGCCATCGACTTGGGAGGCAGAGTCCCAACAGTCCTCCCCCAGGGGCCGCTCTGAGCCGGGTTCAGAGCCTAACAGGCGTCACGCTTCACCAGAGAACCGGCCTGGGCCTGGGCTTCCCAGGGGCCTGATCTGCCTGGTTTCTCCGGCATCAGTGAAAGCCACGGTGATTAGCAGGACAGAAGCTGCCCTGTTTCTCTGCAAACCTGTGAATAAATAAGCGCAGGACACTGGCCCTCACCCTGATTCTGACCTCAGGGTTGGGAGCAGCCTTGGTTGGATCTGGGCCCTTCCCCCTCCCTCCCGAGTTCTGCACGTTCCTCATGGAACTGGAAGGCCCCTCCAGGCCCTGGGCCAGAACAGGGCGGAGATGACTTGCCCAGGCAACGGTTAACATGTCGATTCCTAGCCTCTGGAAACGTGGGGACCCACAGCCCTCCACAGATTGGTACAAGGGCCCGAGGCCGGCTTCAGTCCACAGTGTGACCTCTGCCGGGGCCCCAACCTGAATCCATGCGCTTTGCACCCCCGCCTTCCCGCCCCACCAGGTGCTTTCATTACAGAGAAGCCTGGCTTCCCCAGAGGTGTACCCGGGCTTCTCGGCTCTGGACAGCGCCCCCACCATGAGGTTGGCGTTTTTAGCGGTTCCCAGGACATGCCATCCGTGGCATCTCATCGAAGGGTTTTCAAATGTACTGTAATGACTTTTTTCAATGTGACGAGTAGCAAATTAAAGTGATTGTATTGTTTCCTATTTCTCACTCTGAGCTTTTCATGTCAGCCTGTTTGCTCTTCGGTCGCATGGGATCCAGTCCCTACCACATAGGTAACGTCATTCCAGTAAAGCCCACTGAGTGGTGGGTGTGAGCTATCACTAACTCACGTAACCCCCCAGCAACCCGGGGAGCAGGACTTCACCCGAAGCCAGCCCTCAGCCTCGCAGGGTCCATGGGATAAAGACACCATCACCAGAGCCCTAAATGTGCTGAGTGCTGAGCAAGAGGGAAGCACAGAGGCTGCAACTGAGCAGTCTGCGGCTGGTAAGAAAGCAGGTCCCGGCCCAGCACCGCAGAAGCCGGCCGGTACTCAGCCCTGGACTCAGGTCTCTGGGGATACCAGTGGCTGCAGGAGTCAGGCCTCCGGGAAGGCCTTCTGAGCCTCCTGAGGAGCCTAAGTCTGGCCCTGCAGGAGGAACCAGAGGCAGGGAGCAGATGTGGATTCAGGAAGGGCGGGGCGAAGGTGGCTTTGAATCACTTCCGCTGGCTGCCCTCCGCTGGCTGCCCTCCGCTGGCTGCCCTCCGCTGGCTGCCCTCCGCTGGCTGCCCTCCGCAGCACCCGCTCAGGCTCTGAAGCTCAGTCCATGCCCCACTTGCAGCTGTTCCCAGTATCACCTGCAGCCTGCCAAGGCCTCCCTCATGCCACCTGGATACATCCTCTTAGTGCAACATGCCCACAATCTCATGGTTTTGAGCTTTGGCCTCTCCCTAAAAGGTTCAATGGATTGGTCCTAATTTTCCCCAATACACTTTTGAAACGAAAAAACATCAATTTGTTGTTTCACTTATTGATGCAGTCATTGATTACTTAAATGTGCCCTGACCTAGGATCGAACCCAAAACCTTGGTGTATCGGGATGACACTCTAAGCAGTGGTTGGCAAACTCACTAGTCAACAGAGCCAAATATCAACTGTACATCGATTGAAATTTCTTTTGAGAGCCAAATTTTTTAAATTTAAACTTCCTCTAATGCCACTTCTTCCAAATAGACTAGCCCAGGCCGTGGTATTTTGAGGAAGAGCCACACTCAAGGGGCCAAAGAGCCGCATGTGGCTCGCGAGCTGCAGTTTGCCAACCACAGCCCTAACCAATTGAGCTACGTGGCCAGGGGCTTTCCTAAATCACTTTGAAAAGCAACATAGCCTTAAAATAAAAATGTTCACCTCTGCACCAACAAAGATGATTATCCACCCGAGAAAGGCTGTCCCAGAATGACCTTCCCAGCCCCACACACGTGAAGACCCGCCCGGAGCGGCCCTGCCGGCCCAGCCCAGCCCAGCCCCTCGCCTCCTCCCGCCCTCCTGGGAACCAAACACTGTTCTCCTGGCTCAGCCTCACAACCCCAGTGTAAACACATCCACAGGGCTTCCATCCACAAGTGACCAGGTAGCACTTTCTGTTGTCACAAAGCCACGTTCCACTCCTAAGCTTCCTACCCTGAGCCTGAGAAAAGGTGCGATCCCACTTTCTGACTCAACCCCAAAACCACCAGCTGCGGAGTGGGATGACTCAGCCTGGTGTGGGAGCCGCCCTGACCCTGCGGCTCCGGGGGAAGAGCTTCCTCACCGCCAGCTCCTCGTCAACAAACAACACACAGCCGTGCACAAAACAGCCTTTATTGACAGGAAGGTGGGAGGAAAGATCTGGATTTAGGAATGCAAATTTGGATGGATGCAATCCCACCTCAGTCACCAACACCTCCGTCCTCCAGAGCCCAGAGCAGGTTGTGTATGTTGGTCGGATTGGGAGGGCGTCCTTTCCAGCTCTAGAATACCCACTGAAGAGCTGGTCACACAGGAAGGACTGCAGGAGCCATTTGCAAAGGATTTCACACACACAGGTCACCTCAGAACAGCAGATCCAATCCCAACCCACTGGCAGGCGGAGTCGGGGGATCACACAAAAGACCGGGGGCTCCTGGCAGAAGTGGCTCCAGAAGTGTGACCTGTACCCAAAAGAAGCCTCCAGCGGCCAGCTGGCACACCCAAGGCTCACGGGAAAAGGCCACCTGGGCCCAGCAGAAGGCGAAGGCAGGAGGCAGAGAGCTGTGCAAGGGGCACGGCGGGCCAGGAAAAGGCAGATGGAGTCACTTAACTGTGGGGTTTCACTGCACACACGTCATCACACACTTGGTGTTAAACAACTGCACCAGCCATCAGCCAAGCAGTCAGTTCCAGCCTCCCACCCTCCGACGAGGCCATCCCCAGGCTGAACACAAAGCGTCCCCAGAATGCAGACACCTGGGGGCCGGGGCCGGGACTGCTACCTCCAACCCCCCACCCCCGGCCCAAAGCCCCGTGTTCAGTCTTCAGTCTAGAACACCCTGTCTGCCCAAAGCCACTTTCCACGCTGACAATTGAATTCCTGACTCCACACCAGCCACATATTCCAAACGGATTACCCAGCTAATTCTATTTAAAAGCCACAACTACAGCCAAACCAAAGCACAGCACATACACTCCTAGGCCTGTTGACTGGCACTAGCTACAAAGGCTCGCAACGCTGGCAGAAAGCGCAAACAGAGCTGGCCCCGGTGAGAGCGGCCGTTACTTTAAAAACCAAAACTCCTAACATTTCTTCACGCCTGTTTTCAAAATAACCCCCTTTGCCCAATGTCTTTTTCCAACATTTGACTTTACCGGGCTGTCAGAAAGCAGGCTACTTACTCTTTTCTGGAAGGATCAGCAGAAAGGTCTTAAAACAAACACCCTCCCCTCTACGCTCCCTCCTCCCTCTCCATCCACCACTTAATTAACAAGGGATGCGCAATGGCTGCTGGGCCTTAATCACTGGGCTTGAAGGCAGGTGGAGAGGACCAGGCTTCTAAGGGTTAGAATTAGGCTCTCAGCACGGCCTCCCCAGATGGAAGGGTAAGGGCTCCTGGGAAAACTTTTCCTGAGCCCCAGCTGTGACACCTCCTGCTGCAAAGGCACCTGAGACCCTGAGACCCTCCCACCCCTCACCCCCGCCCCTGGAGCCAGCTCCCCTGCAACCAACCAAGCCTGGAACCAAAAAGCCTGCTCTGCCCGGGGCCAGGGAGACACAGATGGGGGCACCTGGGTGGGGATTCACGCCGGGGAAACACACGGGATCCGAGTGTGTCACCACCCGGCAGAGTCCTGAGCCTCCGACCCCAGGGGGATGGGGATGAGGGGCTCTGTGGGCTGGAGAAACGCCCCCTGACCCACCCCCGGGGCGAGGGTCGCACCCTCTATGCAGCCACCAGCCGGGCACCTCTCCTTGTTCAATGCTTTTAATACTTTTCAGATGGTGCGGTTGTTGTGCTGGTCAGAGGCTGTGCTGGTGGCCCAGACACCCCGTGCCTAACCCCGACCCCCCTCCACCGGGAGATTCTTGAAAGGGACCACGCTCCCTGCTCGGAAGCCGCATCCGGGGCAGTGGAATGTCATCTCCAGTCCGGTCCTGCCTCCTCTCCGCAGTCTCCCACAAGCCCCGGAGAAGGGGTGCCCCCGGCCTCTCCTAGGAGCTGACGACGTGGCCGGACCAGGTCTCGTGCTTGGTGCCCGGTGCCAGGTGGGTGATGACCACCTCCACGGCCTGCAGCTTCTCGTGCTTGGGCGGGATGGAGCACATCTTGTAGGTGACCTCGTCGCCTTCCACCGGCACGTACTCCCCTTCCACGCTGCGGGGTGGGGAGAAGCACTCAGGCCCAGCACTCGGACGAGCCCCGAGCTGTGGGATGCCGCGCCCAGGACTCAGCCCCTGCTGGTCAGAGGGCCGCCCTGGGCCCCCTGCCATCAGTCAGAGGGAGCCACCGTGCCCCAGCCTCTCCACTGCCCCAGCCTCTCTCCCCTCTCCCTCCGTGCTGCGGGCCCCACACCCCATCAGCGGCTGCCCTGGGACCTCTGACACTGGGACAGAAGCTCAGCCTGGAGGTGCTCACATGTTATGGTAAGCGTGGGCGACCCGGGGCCTTTTGGACAGAAGAATCAGAGAGCCAATCTGAACCAGAGAGAAAAACGAGGTGGCCCCGATTCCCAGGCACCGGCAGCGCGCCCTCTGTGGGATCACCCAGTACCACCTGCCGAACCCAGGTTGCACCTGCTCTTCTACTCCCCAGAAATGGTGAGCCTTCCAGAAAGACCCTTTGTGCTTAAAGCTCATTCCAGGAGGGTCCTCTCCCTTGGGGCCATTCCCTGGAAGAGTCCCTCACTTTCTACGGGACTTGAGTCACCCTCCCGGCCCTGCGGGTGATGTGCCCATCTTGACGCCCCCTTGATGAGACCCCACAAATCCCCTTGAGATCCTGAGCGCCAGGGCCAGCCAGCTCCCCAGATCTGGTTTGCCTCGATGAGAGAATCACGGAGCAAACGGAGCTTCCCTCTTCCATGTGGCGACCTGGAGCTCAGGAACGCAAGGGCAGCACCTGCCGCAGGACCAGGCACCCCGGGACCTCTCCTTCCATCCCCGCCTCCACCCTGTGCTCCTTACTCACTGGTTTTTCATGATGGCCTGAGCATACCCTTGTAACCCACCACCAGCCCTTTCTGGGAAGAGGCAGTGCACACCCACTTACGCACTCAACATACATGATGTGTTGCTTGAGCATCCTAGGTCTACACAGTGCAGGGGGCCTACTTACTAGCAAGACCTGCCGTGCGAGCAGTGGGACGGGGAATAAAGAAAGGGCAATTATCTCCATCAAGAGGTTCCTATTTCCAAATATATGGCTTCTGCATGCAGGCTGAGGCAAAAGTAGGCTTATCATTCTTCCCGTGGAAAATAACGCAATCATTAATAAGGAATAATGCAAGAGTAAACTGTGCTTGGCGCACTCACCGCTGCAAACCTACTTTGGCCCCAGCCCACGCAGAACACAACTCTCCCGCAGACTGACAGGAAAGATCAGGGGGCGCTGAGGCCAAGGGTGGGGTGGGGTAAGGCTGCCGGGTCAGGGCCCCACGCGGCTGAAGGCCGGAAGTGGGACACAGGCCGCGGGACGCGGGGCCTGCCTGTGTGGGCCCCGCCCTGGCCCTCCCGGGGCTTCCAGACACTCAGGAAGGAAGGACGTCGTCAGGGAGCCAGTGGCTAGAGGAAGGATCCAGCGCCAGCTTCCCGGATCAGAGGGGTCGGGCAGGAAGCTGCCCTGAGGACAGACATAGGGGCGCCCCTCACCCTCCACCGGACCAGATACACTTGGGCACTCAGCCCCATCCCACCCCACCCCAATGGTTACACACACACACACACACACACACACACACACACACAGACTGTCACCTGCAGCATCAGCTACACCAGCACCACCAAGTACGGTCTCACAACCCAAAACCGGTTTGGCTCAGTGCATAGAGCGTCGGCCTGCTGGACTCAAAGGTCCCAGGTTCGATTCCGGTCAAGGGCATGTACCTTGGTTGCGGGCACATCCCCAGTAGGGAGTATGCAGGAGGCAGCTGATCAATGTTTCTCTCTCATCGATGTTTCTAGCTCTCTATCCCTTTCTCTTCCTCTTGTAGAAAATCAATAAAATATTTTATTTTTTTTTAAACCACCCTGAACACAGTCACACTGGGTCCCACGTGCTTGGACCCACCCCCTCACCCATCATGGTCACACCCTCTCCCTGCCCCTGAGGAACCGAGACAGGGCTCGCCCGCCCGCCCAGCCCCTGCACTCACTCGGAGATGTGCAGGAAGATGTCGGGGCCGCCGTCAGCCGGGGTGATGAAGCCGTGGCCCTTGGAGCGACAGAAGCATTTGCACACGCCTTTGTAGATGGGGCCCTGAGAGGCCCTCACCGTCCTGTCAGAGGGGGGAGGGAGAGTGTGAGGGGCCCCAGCAGCCTTCCAGACACACACCCGCTCTCCTGGGGCGCAGCTCATCCCAGCCCTGCCCGCCGCTGTGGCCCCGGAGGCCCTGGCACCACTCTGGGGGCCATTCACACGGAACCCAGGAAGACGGACTCCCTGGCGACCTTGGCGATGGTTCTCAGGACTCGGTTTCCCCCGTGTGGAGAGAGGGCCTTAGACTAAAAGCTGACGACAGATCCTTAACCAATCAGAGCAGCGGCCTGCACTCACTGGGCCTGAGGTCTGCATCTGCCAGGCACCGTGTGCATCCTCAGCTGCCCCGTGGCAGCCCTGCTCGTGTCCCCATTTTGCAGCTGAGTAGGTTGAGGTCTGATGAGGGAAGAGGCTCTGTGTGGTTAAAGGCCAGCGGTTTCCGACCCCGGCAGTGGGGCCTCACCCCAGCCCGCGACAGGCTCCTGGGGCCCGGGGCCGCGCCCTCCAGAGTTCGCAAGGCACTCTCCAGTGCTCTCCCTGAGCCCGACCCCACGTCTCCCCCGTGACAGACAGGGACACTGAGGCACAGCGATGGCCGCCTGCCTCTGGGAGCCTCCCCCAGCCGGCCCCGAGACTCACGCGGAGAAGGTCCTGGTGCGGCGGGTGGGCAGCGGGCTGGGCACCACGTTGCTCCGGAGCGGGGATGGTGAGCGGTTGCGGCCCCGTTGGGTGTCCAGCAGCCCGACCGAAGCCTGGTGGGTGGGGGGCTGTGGTGGCGCAGGAGGCTCAGATGACATGGCTGACCTGGACAGAGAGAGAGGGGTGCTCAGGGGCTCACCCCCCCGCAGGGAGGCCCCAGATACATACCCACCTCCACATCGGGGAGTCTGCCATCGGAGACCCCTTCCTCTCGCTGTGGGATGCAGGCCCGAGGCTCCTGGGCATGCAGGTCCCAGCCACGTCTCACAAACTCAACACAAACACGCCGGCAGGCCCAGTGGGTCAGGCACACCCCCGCCCCCCCGGGTCTGCAGCAGCCGGGCCCCCCTCTATCACGCTGCTCAGAAAGGCCAGCCGGTACCCAGGCGTCGGTCCCCTGTGTGCCTGTGTGTCCTCAGTGCCCAGCACAGCCTGGGGCAGTGAGTAAACTCGGTGACAGGAAGGGGGGGAGGAGCCGGGGGGAGGGGGCTTGGAGACAGGCAGGCAGGCCTCGCTCTACGCCAGCCCCTGGACCAGGACTCCAGCCGGAGAAACACTTTCTGGACCCTGCAAGCGCCAGGGGGGAGGAAGAGGGAGTGGGAGGAAGAGGGGGAGGCAAAAGAAATAGCTCAGTGTTCATCCAGGAAACTCTGGGACACAAACCAGACAGGCTCAGACACCGAGTCTGGATCGCAGGGCTGTGACCAGCCGGCAGCGAGGGCCGACTCAAAGGCGGCATGTCCACCAGCCGCTTCCAAAGACCCAGCACCCCGTCTGGGTCACCGGGCTGCCAGGACCGCTGATGACCTGGGTGAGCCCCCAGCATGCATCAGGTGGCAGCAGCCGCCGGAGGCTGCCTGGCTGCCTGGCCCGGGACGTTTTGCCAAGATCCGGACGTGGTCACCAGGGAGCAGCACCACAGGGCAACTACAAAGGCGCCCTCCCTAGCGTGGCCTTGGCTCAAGGTCGAGAACAAAGAGCCCAGCCCAGGAGCCGGAGGCCCCGGTACGTCCCTTCCCTTCTGGGGGATAAGTGTCCCCTCTGCAGGGGGAGCCTCCAGGAAGGCCACGAGGGAGGCCAGGAGCCTGCGCCCAGACCTCACCGAGTTCACACACAGAGGTGGGGGCGGGGGGCAGAAGCTGCCCAAAGGGTGCAAGTGCCTCCCACGAGGCTTTCAAGTATAAACTGTGAGTGATCCTTTAAACACCCAGGAGTTTGCCTCACATTCCGGGTTTCCAGCTACTCGTGAGAAAAACCAGCGGGCGAAGACCATCTGAACCCCCAGGTAGACACCCCGCTGCCCTCATTTCTAGTAACCATGTGGCCGCAGGGCACCACGGTTTCAACGTCATCCAGCAATGTCCCCGCTGTCCCCAACCAAACCACCAAACACCGGCCGCATTCCTCTCCCCAAAAAGCAAAATCTCTGCCCCCACACTCCCTACCTCCGCCCCCCCAACCCCCCACAGCCCGGGGCTCCAGCTGGCTGAGAAGGGGAGCCAGCTGCCTCTGGAGGACATGGCGTAGCTACCTCCTGACCCTTCTCTCAGCTGCAGCCACAGCCAGGGAGGACCGGGAGTCCGGGGAGCCCCCACCTCAAAAAGGCCCCGGCTGCTAGGCTGGGGGTCAGGGCTCCAGCGTGACCCACCAGCACAGGTCATAGAGTCCTGGAATGTTCCAACGCACGGGGTTCTGGGAAGGGGCCAGCCCGGAGAAGGGAGGGGAGGGCCCTGCTCCGCCCTCACTCAGGCTGCCCAGGGCAGCAGGGGGAGTCGCAATAGCTCAGTGACACCGGAGGAGAGGGGAGGCCCTCCCCATATCACCCCTCTGTACCCCCCTCCTTTCCTCCTCAGGGTCAGGCACATCTCTCTCCACAATTAAAACGTGAGCTAGCCTCCAAGTCCAGGGACCACCTGCCAGCTGGGCCATCTCGGGTACGCTACTGACCCTCTCTGGGCCTCCTGCTTCCACATCCGGGGAATGGAGATTATAATGGTCCCGACTCCCCCAAAGGGATCGTGAAGTCGAAATGAAACAATGCACGCTGAGCGCTCGGCACGCTGTCTGCCCCCAGCAAGTGAGCAATACGTGTCAGCTGTAATTGTTGTGTAATTGTCATCATAAAACTACTCAACAGGTGTGTGCCCTGTGCCAGGCCCTGTGCATGGCACTGGAGACAGGGCTCCATGTGGAGCCGGAGAATAAACAGGTAGACCAATATCTGAACCAGATCACTGAGATTTCCAAGGGGGGGGGGGGGGGAGGCGCGCTTCCCTAACGGAGCTTACAAGCTGGATCCTGAACCATCTGAAAAGCAGGAGGGGGGGGGGGGGGGGGCTGCACTTGAGGTCGATGTGGTGGCTCCTGGGGATGGAGAAGGAAAGAGTCAGGAGATGGGATGGAAAGGAGGGCAGGACAGCTCAGGAAGTGTTGGGCCTCATCAGCATCACATGTGTCTTCCTTTCTTCACACCTATTTGTCTGTCTGTGTGTCTCCATTCCCCTTGCCAAGCCCATCTCCACCTGGGTTAATGAACCGGGCCAAATTGGGCCCCCCTTCTCTCTCCACCCCGTCTCCTCAACTTCCCCAATACACTCCATCCCTTAGAGATGCTGTCAGAAGCCCATGACCTTGTGAAGTAAGCAACCTGAGGGCAGCACAGGGTCCCCCTGGGTCTCCAGGACCAGCACTGGGGCTGCCACAGACCAGGGTCTTGGGGACAGTCTAGGGAACGGCCCAGACTCCTTACCCAGCACCGGGCCCAAAGCCGGGCTGGCGAAGGCGGCCACATTCGTGCTCACCTGGCACTGAAAGCAGGAGACTGGGGAGGGGGCAGAGAAGTGCCGGCCCGGGAGACCCAGGAGCCTTAATCACCACCTCCCTGCCCGCCACTCAGGGCCCATCTGAGCTGGAGAGCAGCTGGGGCAGGCCTGGCCAAGGGCCAGCACCCCCACCCCACCCCCAATGGGCCTGGGAGGGAGGAGGAGGAGGAGAGAATGGCCTCTGTGTGGGGGAGGCCTCAGTGTAGGTCAAAGTCCAGCTGTAAGGAAAACAGCTGGGGGAGGGAGTTATCAGTCACCCAAGAGCCAGCTCTGGGGCCCTGTTGCTGCCCCCTCCCCCAACACACACACACACACACACACACACACACACACACACACACACACACATACTTGCCCACGTGCATGCAGCAACACCAGCTCCTCCAGCATAGTCTAGGCTTCCTGCTGGGCAGCTGTGGTCCCAGGGGTGGCCTCGGAGCATCCCTGAGGGAGGCAGCCCCACTCGGGTGGCCAGCACCCTCCCCCAACTCCTGCAGCTGGGAGGAGTTTGCACACACACGCTCAGGCTGGCCAGAGGCTCTAGGCCACACCTGGGGTGGGCCCCCTGGCCTGCAGCAAACTCAGACCAAATATCATGCCCCAGGCATGTCACAGTGGCTGCTCTGTGAACACACATGTTTGTGTATCTATGACATGTGTATATGAGCGTGGACAGGTATGTGTGCTCACTTGGGAGCCATCTGTGCATCTGAACACAGGCATACGAGTGAGCCTGCTCTGGCTGATGGCCCAGGCTTGCCACTGCCAGTGTGTGCACACCAGGGGGCCAGGTGGGGCTCACCCTGCCCCCCACACCCCGGGCGCTTGCTACACTGGCATCAGAGGACCTCGAAGAATGTTGCCTCCTAGTCATCTAAGAGTTCCTGGTCACCCGCCATGAACAGGAAAGAAGCTCAGGACAGCACAATCCCTGCCCTCCAACCACCAGGACAACAAGAACAGAGAACTGGGGCCAGCAGTGCTCTCAGCACTTCGCATGTCTCAGCTCATTTCATCCCCATTTCGCTGATGGAAAAACTGAGGACAATGTATCAAGTGACTTACCCAAGCTCCCCATCTAATAAGTAAACTGGTGAAACATCACATGATCTCACTCATTTATGGATAATAAAGAGCATTATAAAATGATGAACAAAAAGATAGACAGTAAAGCAACAAACAGATTGTCAAATTACAGCGGGGAGGGAAGGGAGATCTGGGGGAGATAAGAGATCAACCGAAACAATGGACGAAAAACTCTGGGGAGGGAGGGCATGTATGGGAGTGAGGGGAGGGGGGGCAATGGTAAGAAATGTACACATATAATACTTTAATAAAAAAAATGAAAAAATGAAAAAGAAAAAAGAAATACACAGTAAGTACATCCAACAGTGGAAAAGCTATGAAGGAAAAGCAAGCGGCGGCAGGAGTGTGCGTGAGGGGCTGTGTTTTTAAATACGTACTCCCCCTTCCCCAGACTGCACCCCCGGGTTCTGAAGAGTGCCCAGCCGAGAGAGGGAACCCAGGACGGAAAGGTAGGGAAGCCAGGAAGCCACTCCCACCCTGCGGGTCCCCAGGGAAAGGTGTGTCAGCAGGCCTTTACCCTGGGAAAGGGCGGAGAAGGGGGCCTCAGCCCAAAATAGCCTGGGAATTTTCCACAGGCCATGCGAGTCCTCCTGGAAGGTTCTGAAAATCCCACTGGCCACCAGGCTCCTCCTCGGCCCACAGATCTGGACACTGGAGATCCAACCCTGCAGGTCTCCCCTAATCCCCCACCCCCTACTGCCCTCTCAGCCTAAAAGCCACCAGCCCTAGGGCCATGCCACTGCTGGCAGGAGAGGATGAGTGCTAGCCCACACAAAGGGCATGGGGCAGGGGCCCGGAGAACCAGGCACGGGGAACAGGGGCATGGAGCCAGTGAAGGTGTGATGTCCACCAACCACTGACTTCTATCGATACATCAGGCTCTGTGCCAGCATTTATATACATGAACTAAATTCACCCCCACGTCAGCCCCACAGGGGAGGCACTTTATCATGCCCATTTTACAGATAAGGAAACTAAGGCACAGAGAAGTCTGAGCCAGCTCTTCTCACACTTGAGTCGACCCGTGAATCTCAGGGATGGAGTGAAAGCACTCATTCTGATTCTGAAGGTTGGGGGCTGAGGCCTGAGAGTCTGCATTTCTAAGGTGCACCCAGAGAGGCAGATGCTGCTGGACCACGGGACACAGCACCCACAGAGCTGGGGGTTCAGGGAAACAGGGTGGTGGGTTG